AGCCATCATTGATTGGTTATGCAGATGCAGGATATTTGTCTGATCCACACAAAGGTCGATCTCCGACAGGCTATTTATTTACAAGTGGAGGTACAGCCATATCATGGCGTTCGACAAAACAAGCTATGGTTGCTACTTCTTCAAATCATGCAGAGATAATAGTCATTCACGAAGCAAGTCGAGAATGCGTTTGGTTAAGATCTATAACTCAACACATTCAGCAAACATGTGGTTTTTCTTCGAAAGAGAATATTCCAACAATATTGTATGAAGACAATGCTGCATGCATAGCTCAATTGAAAGGAGGATATATCAAAGGAGATAGAACAAAACACATTTCACCAAAATTCTTTTTCACTCATGATCTTCAGAAGAATGGTGAAATAGATGTACAACAAGTTCGTTCAAGTGATAATTTGGCTGATCTGTTCACTAAGGCATTACCAACCTCAATATTTGAAAAGCTGATATATAAGATTGGAATGCGTCGTCTTCGAGACATTAAGTGATTTTTCATCAGGGGGAGTAACTATACGCTGCACTCTTTTCCTTAACCAAGGTTTTGTCCCACTGGGTTTTCCTGGTAAGGTTTTTAATGAGGCAGCAAGCAATGCATATCATAAATAACTATGTACATCCCAATATTTTTTTTAGAGAGTTTTTAACAAGGCACATTATCTATGGACATCCAAGGGGGAGTGTTATGATGAATATCACATTATGGTGGATGTCTACTCTTCTTCCATAATCTTCATCTAAAATGCTTAATGACATGTTCAATGACATAATTTGTATGTTCAATGACATATTCCATGACATATTTTCTTCACTTTTTATGCCTATATAAAGGTCTTGTAATAGATAGGAAAACACACAATTGAAGAAGAAAATCTCTTCATTCTCTCTATCTCTATTTCTTGTTCATGTTTTACTAAATTGCTTTTATTTCATAACATTAACTTATTATTGTATAAACAACTCATTATTCAAATGAAAGCCGATCGATTATCTATCGCTAACAAATTCCTACAAAAGAAAATAGTAGCAAGGTAGCTAAGGATATAGTAGCAAACCATTGATATCAAGGTACGAAGTCCTTAGAAAGTATGAATATTTTAGAAGCAATGAGTTTATTAATGGTGGCTCAAACAAAAGTAAAGTTGTTATAATACAGGTCAGCAGCAAAAGAAAAGTTTAGTACATATTCTACATATCTACTTCTGTGGAAGTAAAAAGTTCATCAATAAACATCACCAAGGTAAACACCAGGGTTATTCAGCTAATATATTTCTGAATGTTGTGCCCAGTAACCATCCGGTGTATAATAATATATAACTACAGCAAAACATTTCCAGATTCGCTACTCTGAAATGAGCTAATGAAATTCTATCAGATTTACACCACTTTCTAAACATTCTGCCTTGCACCAAAAGGACAACAGAAAAACAACTAAACTTATAAAATTTTGCTGACGGGTTTCGCTTTGTCTTCAAAACATTTAAGATTCCTCTCTTTAATTTCCATATTGTACACCAAATGCAAGAAGGCATAGTCTTTGTCATACTATTCTCTTCTCCTCAAGTTGTAGAAGCGTAACATATAACTCCTTCTATGAGTTTGGCGTCGTCCACTTTAGATTAAATAAGTTCTAAAACATGTCCCAAACTTGTGAAGCCATCTTATAGTGCAAAAACAGGTTGGTTGTTTCCTGCGATATACTCTTTGCATATGTAACACCTATTGCATAAGTTGAAACGTCTTTTTAAATATATTATCTTGTGTTAAACAAGATTGGAGGGGTGCGAAGCATGTGAAATAGGCCACTTTGTTTCCAGATTCGTCTTTCTGACCATTCTGGAACATTCTCTCACCTCCCACATGAATTGTTTTGTAACAAGATCTTACAGAGAAGTTTACCTTTATTCCTAAGAATTCACCACACACACACACTCTCTTTCATTTGGGTCACCTTGATATCCTAACACAAGCAAAACATGCTCCTTCAGGGGAGTAATCGCACAATATAGCATCATTATCAAGAGCTCATCCATCTACTGAATCATGCAGGAAAGAAATAGTATTTTCAGTATGTTATGCCAAATTTTAAGCAGCACAATAACTAAGTTTATTAATGGCTATTAAGAAATCACTAACCTTGGAGAGGAGGTGCTAAGGACTCCAAAGTTAGTTTTTCAAATTCAGCAGAGTCAATCTATATTGTAGAATTTTCTCGGTAATAATAGGTTCAGCAATATTTTTTACATTCACCATGATGATAGCACTCTGAAGCTCCTTTGTTGTCCTTCATTACTGAAGGCATCCAATGGCTATACCGGCAATAGTCTCTCGATGTTAGACAAATAGCATAAATACTCTAATAAAAATACAGATGGAAACAAAACATCACAGTTGACAAAGACTTTATGGTAAGACATCACACATCACTTTTGAGCGGAGTAACAACAAACGTACAAATCATCTATAAAATTCATATTTGATTTATGGTATAGAAATCTGAGTAGGATTGTACTCAGTAAGTCAGATTATCATATAATTTCCACTGCCAAAGTAACTAATTTGCCTGCCAGACTTATTTTGCTCATAGTAGCAATAAGATCTGAGAAGTATACATACTTAGCGAAAAGAACAAAAAGATAAGTATATGTAACCGTTGAATAAAATACTACGAATTAGGCGAGATGACTTCATTATTAGCTTTAATAAAATGTATGATCGTCTCGACATGATGTTATCATCATATTTCTGCCCATCTACCTCAATCTAACCCTACTTCTATCTGAAATCCAACTGCATTATATGTGCTCACGCTCAACTAATAGGCAAAGGTAATAAAATATTTATTGTCAACTTGATAACATTCTTTATAACTTTTTTTTTTATTATGATATTCTTTATAACTTTCAATTAACAAGGTATGCCTTTTTTTTTTCTTAGCCAGGATGTAGTTAGCTAATGTTCATGCTAGGTTTAAAATCTTTCACTTTAAATAGAAGTATAGATAATATTTAATCACACGTCTTCTTTCTGGGAAAGAGAAGTGCATCGGAAAGAGATACAAGCTATATTTATTTAACTACTTGGGTTCTTCTTCAGTCATCAAAATTTGACACATGGTTCACTTTTTCTTTTCACCAACTCAATCAACCCTCATCCTCAGATATATCAAGATATCTCTAGACATTACAATCACAACTAATGCTTAATGGAAGTCTCACATAAAAATTCTCAATTAAAACTCAATAAAATCATACACCAAAATAATGAAAAAGGACAACATATTTCTAAAAAAGAATAGTCTGATTTAAATACTAATAACCATGAAGAATGTATTCTCCACTGCTTTGAGATTGTGCAGCTAGTGAATCGAACATCCATTTCAAGTCTTCCAGTTTCTTCTAAGTGAACACTCTACAAAGGAATATCAAATCCGTTTTGAGTTTAAATTGATCAAAAATATTCAAGTGGGTAATCAGTTGTAGTGTTATAGAGAAACATCCATCTCTTAGCTAAAGCAAATTGCCGGTTCATGGAATGATTGAGATTGAATAATTCTACATGTCAATACTTGAGTTATGAAGTTTAAATCATTATTAACACAGATATGTTATGAGAAAATTATCGGTCTGCTTGCAAAACTTGAACAAATTTAAATATGTAACCTTGAAAATATAGGTAATGATTTCTTGTTTCAAATTTGCAATGGTTCCAGTTAATTTGTCTTTGATATTGATATTGCCTCATTGCAATATTTCCCAATAATCTATATAAAGGATCCAATGTTTGGCATATGCAGCAAAACCATATGATAGAAGAATTCTTCAAATTTTGAACAATAGCGCTTAAAACTTTCCTTGCAAAGTTACAGCTAGTACTAACATGAGTTACTTATAAAGAATTTTAACTTACCTGATCAATTGTCTCCATTCCCATTAATTTACAGCAGTAGTCTTTGTTTCCACTACAATTTTTAAGATAAGTAAGACTGAGGAAAACATATAAGTGTCATTGCTAATAAACAACAAACCCTCCTCCTTTATCCGGGCTTGGGACAGGCTGCGTCACAGTATAACTTGAACACTGGCGGAGTTAAAAACATAATTTTTTCTAGAGGTGTGGATCATGCACATCAACTTTGTAGAGTTACAAAATCACAGAAATATGTGACAACCCTTTGTATTTTTAAATTTGCGAACATGAATGCTTTCACTGATTGGGTCTTGAAGAGTTTTACAATGTAAACATCCTTATCTGTATATTACGCATAAAAACCTATATCAGAAGAATAAAAGTGTTACAATGATTTGCAGGTAAATTAAATAAGCTAACTCTTACGTCCTACCAAATTGCAGGGAAATTGTTTCAAGACCCAAAGAAAAAATTAGAATAAATAATAAGTAGAATAATTAGAAACGAAATTTGTTGCTTCATTTTCCAAGAATAAGTGAATGAGGGGCAACAATCAACAAGATAAATATACACCACATAAGCAATATAAATAAGGAAGCTATAAAGTTATAGAAGGGATTTTTGAATGATTTCCTTATACACTATGTTATATATAGATTGGTCATCATCGTTATCTGCCGTAGGTGGTCGTATTAATATTTTTATACATCTTGAACTCTTTGCTCTAGATAAAGCAATATATAATTGGCCATGAGAGAACACTAGTTTGCGTAAATAAATTCCAACATAGTCTAATGTTTGTCCTTGCACTTTATTTATCATCATAGCGAAACACATGCGTAGTGGGAATTGTGTTCTTTTAAATGGGATAGGTAATTTCTCATCATCTGAAGATAATAACGGTATTCTAGGAATAAATATATGTGTATTCTTAAAATCACCACTCGCAATTTTAGCGTTTATCACACGACTCTTAAAATTACAGCATATCAATCATGTACCGTTGCACAAACCTTCACAAGGATTTAAATTTTGTAGCAATATAACGGGACAATTTTCTTTCAAGATTAGTTTGTAAGGAGGCAAACCAGCAGGGTTCAATAAATGTAGAAAATCCTCAAACTGGCTTTGATCATTCGGTTCAATAGTCTCATCAGTGACAAATGTCTTAGCATCTTTAGGAAATAGAGTCATAAGTCTATCACTCAATTCATCAACAAAGTCATTTTTTGTCGTCAAAATAACACGAGAGGTTAAAAAGGAAGAATCATGAAAAGACATGCAAATCGGGATATATTATGTTGAATAAGAGGTCCAACGATTCTTTTTCAGTAATATAAGGAACAATGAAAGATGTCGGAATTTCGATTTTGTCATCCGCGTTTGTCTTTTTTGTTCCATTTCCAATTTGCATCAAATATTCACAAAAAGAGGGATCAGTTTTCACACGCATATTCTATGATAATCGAAGTTTTTCAAGCTCATTCCATATTTCGGAGTTCAATATGCTTTGCCGAATGAAGTCTTCCTTCTTTCCACTTCGAACCATAGGAAGAGTTTGTCTAAAATCTCCTCCAAATACAATAGCTTTTCTACCAAAAAGAATATTTGTTTCCATTATATTTTTTAGGAGAGAATCTAAAGCTTCAATCATATTCTTTTTTGCCATCGATACTTCATCCCATACAATCAATTTTGCATCGCGAATTAAAGATGCTAGTGAGCTCTACTTGCTGATATTGCAAGAAAAGTTTTCATCGATATTAATCGGAATTTTAAAACGTGAATGAGTTGTTCATCTTCCTGGAAGGTTCGAAGCTGCAACGCCAGAATTTGCTGTTGCTAACGCTACAAATCATGTAGATCTCACAGTTTCTAATAAGACACAATATAAGAATGTCTTACCACTTCCTCCAGGACCATCAATGAAAAATGCTCCAGATTTATTGGCAAATACTCTCTGGAGAATTATGTCGTATGCTATTTTATGTTCAGCATTTAATTTTCTATGTAACAATAAATCTTCATCGCTCACAATGATGTTTCTTTTGAAATACACTTCCTTTTCTTCATTTGCTATTTTTGAAGATGTGATCATTTCTGAAGTAAGGTTGAACTCATTAATATCACGTCACATAGAATGTAGTATGTCATTGATGCGATTCAAGACAGCAAGGTGGATATCCGTTGGCCTTATATTCACTAGGCTCTTAAAGTCTTCGGACATTGAGTCTTCAAACTGTTCCCATAGTTCTCTTGGATTATCAGGACTGCAGTATACTAATATTGTAGCAAATATACGTCTTAAACTATATGTCATTTGATAACAAGCGGCCTCTCGCATACATTCGACCAAGCTGTTATCACAATGCAGCAATCCTCTTTTTTCTGCAGATTCTCTAAATGTGTCACAACATATTCCATTTACTGTCAGAAGATCTTTATAAGATTTTGGTGCTCTCACATTCATTAGTAATAATCTAAGGTAATATCTTTCTCCTTCTGTTGGATGATACGTTACAACACGGCCGATAACATTACCTCATTGTCGTCGAGTCCACATTTTATAGGGAGATGACCATACGAAGTATTGTGGAAACTTTATAGAATAATTTAAGCTATTTAGCATCTTTATTTGTTTCATTCATCAAAAAATATTCTGCCAACATCGTCTTCTTAAGCATAGGATTTTTCACGATACTGTCTATTGTGTCAGTTTTTTTAAAAGAGACAAACTGTAATCCGTCAAGATGTAATTGGAGGTGATAAACACTTGGAGTCATTTCACTAATAGAAAAGGCAAATAAGCGCCACAGAGCTTCCGGAGCTGACGCCCATCTAGCATATCGATACTCTTTTATCTCATCTATCTGTAAATTTGTGTTATCTTCATGTAAGCCAAATGAAATCTTATCATGTCCTTTACAGATATACTTGTATATATATTTGACAACTTTAATATCTGAGCAAACCTCTACATTTATATGGTAATTGTATTTACAGAGCAGATAAGGATTGTACGGAACAACCCATGAGTTATCAAGAAATTGTTTTCAAACTTTCACAGATTTACCAGTGTTTCGTCTTCTATAAATTGGGTATGAGTTCTTTCCTTTCGTTGTCTCATCAGCAAAAATCTTCGGGTACTTAAATTTGCACTCATTTCTTTTCATACATGAATTTGTAAGATCCAAATGATCACAAGGCCTATGCATCATGTGTTTAGTAACAAGCTTATGCAAGTAAGAGTTCATATCAGGATCAGGCATAACAAATTTGTCATAATCCTCGGGCGTCAATAACTTGTAGTCATCAGTAAGTATAACAAGAAAATGAGCATGTGAAAGACCACATTTTTGGAATTCTATAGTGTACATAAAAGCTGCAACTTTTTGAAATATGTTTCTTTTTAATATATCTGTATTCATCTCTTCTACTTTTGCTCTGAACACTCGACTAATTAAATCAGACATATTTTGAGTTTCATCCATTGTGAGCAAATGTTCCCTTATTTCATGCCAAGAGGGATTGCATGTCATGGTCAGAAATATATCAGGCTTTTCAAAATGTTGTACTAATGCAATAGCATCCATATAACGCTAGCGCATATCTCTCGGACCTCCCGTAAAACTTGTCGGAAAAATATTTTGTTTTCCTATCTTAGAAGCTTCTCTTTCACCAAGTCTCAGGATATCTAGAAGTCCTTGTAATACATCAACCCGAAATAATCTTGGTTAAATGAGGAAAAATCTAATCTCTGAGTTTCTACTTTTATGAATTCATCAACCGAGTATTGTTGAAATAATCTGCCAGAATGTAAAACTCTGTTTTCCTCATTGTCTCTCATCTGCAGTTTGTAACAATAGTATTCACGACAAGAAATATTATTCCTTTTTCGTATTCCTTTTTGCAAAACATCAGCTTCCATATCAAGTAGTCCGTCAATTGAACACATGTTACAAAGGCCTGGAAGCTGCTCAGTCTCGTAGTAAGATCGTTTTTTCAATTTATTCCTAGGCTGTAAGATTTTTGGGATCCCACAATGCCACCCATTTTGACCGTAAGGAAGTAAAATCGGATATAAAAAAAGGATCATATCAACCATAATAGTAATTTACTATTTGACTTTTGTTACTGCGAGTGTAAATTCGGATATGCGGTGAAGAAATATTGTTGTTCGTTTCTTGTTGTAGCCCTAATGCTGCTACTTCTGACACAGTTGGCAGATTATATACTCTATGATCTAAGCCAGAACCACATCTCAATGCAATGTAAAAGTTTGATAATTCCGGGATATGTATCAAAGATTTCAAGAAGATACAATAAGGATTTATCTTTAGTATATCCATGAGCTTCTCAATGATCGACTATCGAAGTATACCCGAGGAAGTCATTTGATTCAATATTTCTGTGTTCTCATCGTAAAAATACATATGTAAATTTCTAGGTTGTTAATTTGTTGGAATCAAATCATTTATGAAGTGATACATTTGACCCTGTACCCTAAATATGTAAATTCCATGGGTTTTTTTGCTAGTACTTTGTCATAGTTCACCCCAAGTGAAGTGAAGGCAAACATATTATTATACAGTCTAATGTAGGTACGAAAATGTTCACATTCTTCAGTATTGCCTAAGTAGAGATTTAATAATTCATTGGGCATTTCATATGACATAACCATTGCTACAACAGAATCCTGCTAATTCATATTCAAACCTTTTAGCTCTAAAATATTTACAGTTTGGTACAGTTTTCAAAATGGTTGCGTTACTGGGCAACTGTTTGAAATTCCAATAATCTATTATTTTTGATCTACAACCTGTGTATATAAGTTGTTGGATATCATACAAGTATTGAGAAAAGATATATGGCTAATATTGTTAAAAGAGTACCAAGACAAACCTCTTTTTATGACAACGGATGCCTCGGGATCACGCCGTTCATCGAGTGGATTTGATGTGGAACCTAATATGCAAATCATTATAATTGATATACGAAATATTTCAAGTGAACTAAAATTGAAACTGCATTTTAATAGTTACTAACCATATTCGAATATAGAAAGGGAGCTAATTATATTCTTTCCTTTGTTAGAACAAACTGTTGTGCCGTCCGCGCAAGATTTATCGGCTACATAAAATTGAACGCATGTTAACATTAACAATACATATGTAGGTAAAATCCCAAAAACAACATCCAAAATTCTATATACAAAAGAGTTATATTTCTTTTCCTAACCTTTTTCATCAAGGCAACATGATTCCTCTATTGTTAGTATTCTCTGTCTAGGTAACTCAGCAGGCTTCAGAAGATGATGCTACTTCAGTATGTTCAACCAAGAGACCTTGGCTTGTCGACTCAATATTTTTTGATCGTCGTTGTGCTAAAAGCATTTCTTTTTTATCTGCTGACTGATTTGCATACACATCATGTCTCCTGAGCTTGATTTTAGAAGCTCTTTCTGCTGAGTAATGTCGCTTCCGCTTCTGGAAGAGACAGCTTGACGCCGTGGCTTTTTTATCGATAGGCATCTGTATTTGAATAACTTATACATTTTTAACATGACATCTCTAATACAAATCAAAAAGCAATTAATCTGACCATCAATAATGAGCGAAATGTATTGTAAAATGCATTGCAAAATGAAGAAAGTAAAAAAGAACACAAATATCCCTAAAGACAATATATAAGCAGAGACCCAGGGCAGACAACGTAGAATCAAATATTGGAACATTCCTACAGTATATGAAACCCATCACTTGAGCAAAATATGCAAACTTAAATCACTGTTCCTTTCAGGCTACTTACAGATTCAATTCAAACACACATGGAAAAAAAGAAAGTAAATTGAGATCTTACAATTTTGAAAATACAGTAATTCATAATCCCATCTAACTCTACAATAGAAATCAGTGCGATTAGATCACTACAAAAGATTTGCTAAATGACCGAAATAAATGACCTTGATCGACATTTCATCTTCTTCAAAATACATAATATTCATAAGTTTGCTAACTAAATATTAGAAATTCATATTCTAAACAACTATAATTCACTGGGTGAAAGAGAAACGTACCAGTAATATGGCCGGAGGGTCAGAGATCGAACAAAGAAACAAAGGTATTCGATGATGTTTACTACCAACGAAAAAAATAGAGTACAGGTGAAGAGAAAAGCAGAGTAAACAATTAGATAGAAATTGAAGCGGTCACTTGTCCTTCTCAACCTCAAGTTGTAGGCAGATTTCACGTGCAGGGCCTTGTAAAGTCAGCACGTATTAAATTTGTGCAACATGAAATGACCAAAAAGGGCCTTGGTCGGCAAGCTGGCAAGACAATGCCCAACTGCTTCCAAGCCTCTTCTATATATTAGAATACAAGAAATAAGATAAATAAAGTGTTGCCACTTAGAGTAAGAAAATGGTAGAGGCAGAACCGCACCTGCGACATTATTGAATTGTTTTGGCTTGCTGCATCAAATAGACAGCACATCCATAATGTCTAGGATTTTTTAAATTTGTAGCTAACGTTATAAAATTACCCTGAAATTATATCTTGCTGCTTTCTTTATTTCTTTGTAAGTTTAATTTGCGTTAATCAATGACTCCTCCATATTTATTAGCAGGAGTATCACTGGTAGTTAAGTTCATGATTCTTCTTTATTGTCATTTCATTATATTCTCTTAGAATTAACATAAACATTAGGAAATTTAGCATGCAAAGTATCATAGTTCTGTTACATAGTTTAAATAAGAAAATAATTTATATAAGCTTATTGAAATTTAAAGTCCTACAACAACCCAGTAAAATCTCATTCGTAGGGTTTGGGGCCTTACTTGGATGTACATTAGAGTCGGCCCTGCCTATATAAAACCCCATGCAGTATCAAATGACATGGAGAGTAGCTTTACTCTCTTTGTTACTACACAATAAGGATAGATAAGTATAACATTAATTTACTAAGAACTTTAATCCTTTCTTATTGACTTTGGTAATTACATCCCTTCATGTTGAT